AGGCTGGCCTCGAACACACAGAGATCCGCCTGCCTCTGCCTCCCGAGTGCTGGGATTAAAGGCGTGCGCCACCACAGCCCTGCGAGTTTTTTTTTTTTTTTTGTATATTTTGTAGATCAGTCCTCTTTCAGATGTGGAGTTAAGGAATATCTTTTCCCATTCTATAGACTACCATTTTGTCTTGTTTACCATATCCTTTACAGAAGCTTCTCAGTTTTAGGAGGTCCTGTTTATTAATCGTTACTCTCAGGGACTGTGTTTCTGAAGTTATAGTTAGGCAGTAGTCTCCTGTGCCAATGCCTTCAAGGGTGCTTCCCACTTTCTCTTCTATGGGGTTCAGTGTGGTTAGATTTAGGTTGTGGTCTTTTTTCATTTGGACTTGAGTTTTGGGCATACAATAAGTATGTATTTTTATTATTCTACATGTCAAGATCCAGTTATGGAACACTATTTGTTGAAGATGAATACTTGAATCCACTTAGGAAGGAGAAAAATACAAGATCTCCTGAGTAAATTTGTAGTGTTGGGGTAGGGGAAAGGTAGAAGAGGAGAGGGGAGGAAGGAAGCAGATTGCAGAAATTGTATATCTCAATAAAAACAATGAAAAATAGTCTGTAAAAATTAAATATGTATATTAAATTGGATTCAGCAAAAATTCATAATAAACCATAAATAAGAACTCCAAAATTGACAATTAAAAAAGATATATTAAAAATGTATGAATATAGCTACGTAGGATTGGATTGTAGAACCATTCGTCAAACTGTTAAAAAATTTATTAAAAATTAAAATCACAACTAGAACCCACAACAGTTGAGATGTAATATATTCACCTGTGGGAGCATCTGCCTCACATTTATCTCGCAGAAAGGAGACCTTAGCAGAGGTTTCAAGAAAGGACCAATGGTGAGAATTCTGTTCAATAACCAGTTTCAATAACCAGTCTACACTCAGAGCTTTTCACAAATCTCCTTAGATGAAAACCAACAACAATGGTTGTTTCTGCTTATTCTCAATCAGACAAATGTACATTCTTGTTTTGTTTTAAATATTTTATTCATTTGACATACTAACTACAGTTTTCCCTTCCTTTGCTTCTCCTGCTGCCCTTACTCCTCTCATCCTCGACTCCCCAGCACTCCTCAGAGAGGGTACAGACTCCCATGGGGAGTCAAAAAGTCCTGGCTTATCAAGTTAAGATTGGAACAAGACCCTCTTGGATCAAGGCTGTGCAAGGTCTTCCACTAGAGTATATTTTTATTGATAAAAGGTTGTAGGAGGGAGAGGTCTGCTTGTTCTTTCTGGCTGTCTGGCTAGCTTACAGCAGAAGTAATCACACAAAGACTGTACTAATTAAATCACTGCTTGGCTCATGAGCTTTAACTTCTTATTGGCTAACTCTTACATTTTAATATAACCAATTTCCATTAATGGGTGTATCACCACGAGGTCATGGCCTACCATCAAAGTTTCATCATCGTGGTGGATCCATGGTGTTTCTCTGACTCTGCCCTTCTTTCTCCCAGCATTCAGTTCCATCTCCCGCCTACCTAAGTCCTGCCCTATCAACAGGCCAAGGTAGTCTCTTTATTCATTAACCAAGAAAAGCAACACACAGACAGAAGGACCTCCCACACCAGAAGGTCACTTTAGATTCTAGAGTCTAGAAATTTATAACTAACCAAGAGTGAGCATAATCAATTGCATCTAAACTTTGAAAGTACTGGGAGAGGTGATTACACATTGTATTCAGAATTGCTTCAGTGACAGGTGTAGATGGAAGTCTCATCTCCATCCTGTGAATTATATACATCCATTCCTAGATAATGAGGGAATATTCTTAATTTACTAATTTTTCTAACTTTCCTATTAATTTAAATTCAAAGCATAGTAAAAATTTATATATGCTTAAAACATTCTTTATGCTTTTCCTTTACTAATGCAATATCAGTCATTATTGCTAAAATAAATTTTAATTATGGACAGTATAGCTATTATATTTATTTAAAACTTGGTATGTAAAATGTGATATCCCAAATGATTTATATGAGTGTACTATATGGACACATTTATTACTACGTTTATGAGAATACTTATTACTACTATAACAAATCCTTCAACATTTTAAATTTCAGGTTATGGCTTTGATGGTAGCAGAAGGAATAGGAACTTTCAATGTCTTGGGTATATCAGAGCTTTTGGCTAGAATAAGCAAGGCCCTGAATTCTCTCCACTGTACCTCTCAGAAAAAAGAGCTTGCAAAATCATTAAACCATAAATAAGCAAATGTAACTGTTAATAATAGAAATACCTAGATTACACTTGGTGAGTATGCAGATTGAATAAAAAGTGACTCAAGGTCATATTTAAATTTTTCTTTCTATTATAATAAAAGGCATATTTTTAAACATATTTTTAAAGTTTTTCTGAATTTCACTTACAGTTTTTTTCTTACTGAACTTTTTATTAGCTTAGCATTTAACAATTACTCATTAATAAATAATACTAATTCTCCTAACGAACAATTAATTAAGAAATACTGGTAAAAAATAATTTCAAATCTTAAATGGTTGGCCCACTTCAAAGTAGCAGTGAAAATAAATATTCTTTTAGTTGTAACATTATTTGTACTATCGTTGCCCTGCAAATTGGTTTTAGAGTACATTATAATTTATTGAACTCCAAATTTTAGAATATGTGTAGAAAAATTATTTTCCCAGAAATTTCATTACAGATAAAATGAATGCAGGCACGTTTAGATATACCTCATTAAAGTGTGTATAGAAAATTTCCATCTTTTTTGCTATTGTTAAAAACAGGATGTCAAAAATATACTATCATGATATATAACTAATAGAGTAAGTAAACTATAATAGTTATATTGAAAATATGAATGAGAATATCCACCATTGACTCATTTGTTTGAATACTTGGTCCCTAATTGATTTGATAGATTGAGAAAGATTCGCAAGTGGGACCATATAGAAAGAGATGTGTCAATGGGTGTAGACTTTGAGGTTTCAAAGAAGGGTTTCAAAGAGACCAGTTTCTTTCTCTGCCTCCTACTTTGAGATCAAGATGGGAGCTCTAATCTGCTCCAGCTATCATGTTGTTGCTCCACCATATTAAATTCTAACCCTCTAAATCCATAACCCAATTAAATACTGTCTTTGATAAGTTGCATTACTTATTGTGTTTTGTCACAAAAGTAACTAACATACTTAATTTAGTACTTTTATTATTTGTGAGTGTGTGTGTGTGTGTGTGTGTGTGTGTGTGTAAATCTGCATATGTCTGATGCCACGGCCCACTTGAAGACATTACAAGAAGAATGGCATGAGTCTTCTCATGTGGGTTTCAGCGATTAAACTTTTATTATCATACTGAGCAAAGTCTTTCTACCTGCTGAGCCATCTCACTGGCACAACTATTATTTATTACTGGGTTTATTTTCTTATATTTACACCATTATATATTTATACATGTACCTCATTATATATACACAGTGTATCTACTTATTTATTTAATGAATGCACAATTATCACTGGTTGCTCATAAGCAAGAATTTCTGATTTTAAAACCATGAAATAAATGTAGCAGTGTAAATTTGTTGGGAATATTTGGGAATAAAATTGAGATTAATTAAGGTAAAAAAATGTTATCTGAGAGGTGTAACACACTAGTATTTGCTTTGGTTTCACAATTAGTACTTGCAATTGTTTCTCTTTTGCATTAAGAATCTGTTTATCATTTTCCCATCTCAAAACTTTAAATAGTTGAAGTGCATTTAGAAAATGGGATTTCTTTTCTTGTACTCAAAACTTGACACAAAAACTCATGTTCAGTAAATTTCTTAATGTATTTACTTCTTAGTTTCCTCTCTCTTGATCTTAGAATAATAATAATCATATGCATGGCAAACCTTAGCAGTAAAGATTAAATTATCGAGGATATCACAATATTCACTAGTACATAACAAGAAATAAAAATGGAAACCATATTTTGATGATACTAAATGATATCACTGCCTAAATATTCAAATCATTTTTGTATTTATAAATTTATTTCTAGTTTTAATTGTATGGATTAACAATGGATACTAGGTCAATATGGTGTCTTTATAGTATAGTTACATTTTTTTTCCAGTCTTGCTCTCACTCTCCCTTTTTACCTCTCTCTCCCTCTCTCTCTTTCTCTCTCTCTCTCTCTCTCTCTCTCTCTCTTTCTCTCTCTGTCTCTCTTTCTCTCACACACACATACACACAAAAACACACACAATAATCCAATTATCCCATTGTAATGAATATCACTGTATAAAGGTATGCCTAAATTTAACCATTATAAATTGAATAATACATTTATTTTTGGTATATAATTTAGAACTAATCTTTAATTTTCAGTATTTTAGGGAAATATCCAAATTTCTGTGCATGTAAAAATTTACTTGTTTGTAAGATGAAGTTTCATTTTTTGACAACAAATTCACCACATACACATTGGGGAGCATACACCTATATTTTCACACCTGTAACACTAAGGCGGATAATTATTTCCTTTGAATTAAAACATTTTTTCCAGGACAGAAGAAAGAGGCCTGCAACATTTAGTAATCTCATGAAACATGGAAAGATCTCAATGATCATAAAATTCACCAGGTGCAGAGGATCATAATGTCACAAAATCTACAAAGTCATTTTCCAAGATTGTAAAATAAATCCAGTTGCTGTTAGAAAATGGAGAATTATATTGGATAATCTTCATAAAAAATTATAAAGGCATGTCTGTGCTAGTTTGTCCTTTTTTTTATTATGTATGTTGTCTTTGAGTCACTTATTTTCCTGTAAGTAAATTAAATATAGTCAGAGGTTTTTTAAATTAGACAAGAGTAAAATTATTTTTAATCTATAATTGGTGCATTATCTGGAATGATTAGAATTTTTTCATATTCAAGAAAATCTCAGGGTCGAGTCCGCGTCCACCCGCGAGCGCAGGCCTTTCGCAGCTCTTTCTTCGCTGCTCCACACCCGCCACCAGTTCGCCATGGATGACGATATCGCTGCGCTCGTTGTCGACAACGGCTCCGGCATGTGCAAAGCCGGCTTCGCGGGCGACGATGCTCCCCGGGCCGTCTTCCCCTCCATCGTGGGCCGCCCTAGGCACCAGGGCGTGATGGTGGGCATGGGCCAGAAGGACTCCTACGTGGGCGACGAGGCCCAGAGCAAGAGAGGCATTCTGACCCTGAAGTACCCTATTGAACACGGCATTGTCACCAACTGGGACGACATGGAGAAGATCTGGCACCACACCTTCTACAACGAGCTGCGTGTGGCCCCCGAGGAGCACCCTGTGCTGCTCACCGAGGCCCCCCTGAACCCCAAGGCCAACCGTGAAAAGATGACCCAGATCATGTTCGAGACCTTCAACACCCCAGCCATGTACGTAGCCATTCAGGCCGTGCTGTCCCTGTATGCCTCTGGTCGTACCACTGGCATTGTGATAGACTCCGGAGACGGGGTCACCCACACTGTGCCCATCTATGAGGGCTATGCTCTCCCTCATGCCATCCTGCGTCTGGACCTGGCTGGCCGGGACCTGACAGACTACCTCATGAAGATCCTGACCGAGCGTGGCTACAGCTTCACCACCACAGCCGAGAGGGAAATTGTGCGTGACATCAAAGAGAAGCTGTGCTATGTTGCCCTGGACTTCGAGCAAGAGATGGCCACTGCTGCATCCTCTTCCTCCCTGGAGAAGAGCTACGAGCTGCCTGATGGCCAGGTCATCACTATTGGCAACGAGCGGTTCCGTGCCCCTGAGGCTCTCTTCCAGCCTTCCTTCCTGGGTATGGAATCTTCTGGCATTCACGAAACTACATTCAATTCCATCATGAAGTGTGACGTCGACATCCGTAAAGACCTCTATGCCAACACAGTGCTGTCTGGTGGCACCACCATGTACCCAGGCATTGCTGACCGGATGCAGAAGGAGATCACTGCTCTGGCTCCCAGTACCATGAAAATCAAGATCATTGCTCCTCCCGAGCGCAAGTACTCTGTGTGGATCGGTGGCTCCATCCTGGCCTCCCTGTCCACCTTCCAGCAGATGTGGATTAGCAAGCAGGAGTATGATGAGTCCGGCCCCTCCATTGTGCACCGCAAATGCTTCTAGGCAGACTGTGACTGAGCTGCGTTTTACACCCTTTCTTTGACAAAACCTAACTTGCGCAGAAAAAAAAAAAAAATGAGACATCATTGGCATGGCTTTATTTGTTTTTGTTTTTTTTTTAATTTTTTTTTTTTTGTTTTTTTTTTTTTTGTTTTGTTTTGGCGCTTTTGACTCAGGATTTAAAAACTGGAACGGTGAAGGCGACAGCAGTCGGTTGGAGCCAGCATCCCCCAAAGTTCTACAATGTGGCTGAGGACTTTGATTGTACATTTTTTTTTCTTTCTTTTTTTTTTTTTTTTTTTTTACCTTTTTTAATAGTCATTCCAAGTATCCATGAGATATGGCTACAGGAAGTCCCTCACCCTCCCAAAAGCCACTCCCATTCTGTAGGGGAGGATGGCTGAGTCCACACCGGGGTGGTGACAGCATTGCTTCTGTGTAAATTATGTACTGCAAAAATTTTTTTAAATCTTCCGCCTTAATACTTTTGTTTTTTTATTTTTGAATGGTCAGCCATCGTGGCCCTCCTTTTTTTTGTCCCCCCAACTTGATGTATGAAGGCTTTGGTCTCCCTGGGAGTGGGTTGAGGTGTTGAGGCAGCCAGGGCTTGCCTGTACACTGACTTGAGACCGGTTTAATAAAAGTGCACACCTTACAAAAAAAAAAAAAAAGAAAATCTCAGAAAGCAAATAAGGACTTAACAGAAGGTGCAGGAGTATTTTACTTCCAAATACAGCCAGAACATTCTACAATATCTCTCAAAAAAAATGGTGCCTCTGTTTTACATTATTCAGACAAATATTTCCACTTGGTCATTACTTTAAAGTTTAAATTTGCTAATTACTGATTGGAGCAGACATATTAAATATATAAATGTGGAAAAGCATATGGGTTCTCTCTCTCTCTAACTGTCTACTTATTCCATGTGACCTTGAAACATAATCATTCATAGCTTTAAGACCTAATAAAAATATGTATTCAAAAGTACTATTTGTAGTACACTTAACTTCTGTCATCATCTGTTTCTGTATAAATTGGTGAAAACTACCACTTTTAAGTATTCCTTGTGAACAGAAAAAATATCTAATTAATACAAAGCATATCTGCAAGTAGTATTGTGAAATTACATTTAAGGGAAATGAGTAATCTGAAGTTTTATTTGCCAATAAATTGAAGCAAAAGTACCAACACTCATCAGTATATTTACATATTCAATCCAAAATGAATCATAGGCAACAGAACCTGACACTTAGGGAAATGCTTACAAGGCTTTTCAAAACCTGAAGTGACTACAAATTTGTTTAAAAAGAAAATGATTTCTAGATTTGAAGTCCTGTTATTGCCCTAAATACATGTGTTACTTCACTTTGATACATTTAAAGCTAGTCTGAAAGCAAGCTAATATCTTTTTCTCGATTTTCTGACAATCAAATCTCTATTACTATGAGAAAAAAATTACAAAATACTTACTAACAAGAATAAGAATGTCCCCACTTTGTGATACTGTTTTATGTGTGTTTGTGTGTTTGTTTTGGGAGCTTTAGGAGATGTGATCTTCCTTTAGGAAGTCATAAATACTACACAGTAGTTAGAGTTCAAACACCATGCCGTACATAGTTTGCCATATTTTCATTTAGTTAGGGATATATTGTATCAGGTTCCTTCTCTGGCTTCCACCCCTTACTTGTCATGATGAAATTATAGACCTAAGTAAATCCTCTTTCTATAAATGGATTCCATATGACAATTTTTCATAGAAATAACAATAACTAAATCAAAATTTGGTTAAACAGTTTGGGCTTTTGCTGAGAAGAGCTTGACCTTGTTTTCTTGTTTCTTTGTTTTATGTATTTATTTACATTCTTTCTATTTTCTTGAAGATGTAGAAGCCTTCAGAACTTTGAACTAAATAAGTATATCAATTCGATAAGCAGAGCTTAAACAAATATTTTAGTACAAGCCTTGTAGGTAGTAATGATGATGGTAATATAAACTGGAGACCAGAAAAGGCGGTTTCAGCAGTAAATAAAAATAACCCCTATGATAGTGGCCATTTCTGTGATGTTGACAAATCCTCTGTCTGCCTTCATCCTCATCCTAAGAACTTCTAGACCTGGATGGAGGTGGGTGGTCCTTGGACTTCCCACAAGGCAGGGAACCCTGATTGAGGGGGACTTGATTGGGGGAGGGGAAGGGAAATGGGAGGCGGTGGCGGGGAAGAGACAGAAATCTTTAATAAATAAATAAGAAAATACAAACAATAAGAAAAAAATAATGAAATAGTGACTTAATGATGGAAATTTCAGGAGAGCATAGCATTGAATCTATGGCATGTTTGCTACCTATAACGTTTATTCGAGCCTATAATGATGAGTAGCCGATGGGATAATAGGAAAATAAAAAATGTACAGTTGGAGATATCATTAGAAAACAGTATTACCGCCAAAGCATCTGGTGGTAGAGAGACTGTCACTGTAATTGGGATTCACACTATTAAAGACAGACATACATCCCATTGGAATAAAGGAAGTTATGGTTGTAGAACAAGATTCCAGCAAGCTAGCTTTCCAACTCTTATAATAAACCTCAGCATTTTCTGCTGAGTAAAAACCACTATTACTAATGATATTCCAAGGGAGCAGCGTCCATCACATCTCTATCAGTAAAGCTTGGCAGTGTCGTATGTGATGCTGGATAAGAGTCACAAAAGATGAGGAATGGAGGGGTGAAATTTTCTTTTTCCTCAGTTTCAGAGGGCATAGAATTCAGGGAGGGGTACTGTGGATGCACGGAAGAAAACGCCCTCCAAAGGGAGTGGTACTATTTGGATATGTGGCCTTGTTGGAGAAAGGAAGTGTGTCAATGTGGGGAATGGCTTTGAGGTCTCTTGCTCATTTTTTCTCAGCATGACTGTCAGCTGACTTCCTGTTGCCTGCAAGATGTAGCACTCTTTTCTAGTACCACGTCTGACTGCATGTAGCCAAGCTCCAGCTATGATGATAAAGGACTGAACCTCTGAAATTCTAAGTAGCCACTGTAATTAAATGCTCCCTTTAAAAGAATTTCATCGCCATGGTGTCTCTTCACAGCAATACAATCCATAACTAAGGAACCCATGTGTGAAGGCCTTGAGAGGGCAAGAGGATGGGAGATGTCACTGGGTGAAGATTTTAAACAAGAGCTGGGATCGTAGCAGAAACCCTAAGATGATGGAGATAGAAGAGTCATGAGACTTTTGCCAAGAGTAGGTATATATGCTGTGAAATATATGTTGCAGGAAGTAAAGCTGGTCAGATGTAGTCATGTTACCACTACGAAATTGAAGGCCCAAATCATGGACATGGAGCCCCAGGATTCGATGTTTGCCTTGCTGAGACTGGTTTTGTTTTGATCCAATATTGTCCCCCTATGGCAATGTTCCTTCTATTTAGAATAGCAATGTGTATTCTGGACCATTATATGTTGTAAGTGTGCAATCTACCTTTTCATTTTATAGTATTTTATATTTAAAACATTATTTCTCGCCTCAAGAAAGGCTTTGAGAATGTAAAAGAGCATAGGAAGTTTTGATGTTGGACTAACTGCAGTTTGCATTATGATATGCCTTAGAGCCTTTGGGAGCTAAGGAGTAGAATGAAGTGGTGTGGATGAGATGGGTCTATGTAGGCTGATATATTAGAATGCATGATCCCTAGTTAGTGACATTCTCTGGGAAGGTTTATGATATAAGGTCTTGCTGAAGGGAATTGTTAGCAGAGATATGTTTGGTAGTTAGAAGCCTTATGTCACATGAAGTTAACTCTTTATACTTCCTGCTTGTGTTTGATGATATGGGCCTCTCAGATTCTTTCTCCATCTAGCATTTCTGCCTCATTCCATGCCAACTCAACATGATGGATTCTTATCCCTCCAGTCCTGGAAGCCCAAATAAACTCCTTTTTTTATAAATTGCCTTTCTAATGGTGTTTTATTTTAGAATAAGAAACTTACCTAATACTAAGTAATAATTCAGATGTGTTTCATATGTCTTTACATGGAAACTATTCATGAAATGCAAGTTCAGTATTTCTAATTTGCTATACCACTATTTAGAGACTGAGATTAACTATCTGTTTATAAGAAAAAAATAGAACAATAAATGATTATAGCTGGTGTTATTCCTTATAGTCATTCTAATACAAATGTCCAATTTTACCACTGATCCAATGTAGCTAATGTCATTGTTGTACTGATTTGGAAGGTAAAAGATATTTGTTGTAGGGCACAGCATTTATTCCTCATTAAAAATACTTGTTGGATAAAGTGAAGATATAACATAACAGGTATCTGAGAAAGAAACCCAAGCCCTTAGTTCATTATATTATTTTGACAATAGTTATGGCTATGTGAGAGATTTCAAAATAAAATGATTTAGAAAGGAACAACGTTTATCTTGTCATATTAGTACATTAATGATTTACCATAGTAGGGAACTGTTTCTCAAATCATAGCCCTTTGAAGCCCATCCTATCAGAAGTAGTTGACACTCTTATGCTGACATTTTCATGTTAGGGATTTTTGTTACTAATTGCCTGAATCTATACCTGCCTGAAGCCATTGATCTTCCATTAAATCTCTTGTTAATCTGTTGTGATGCAACTGACCCACACATCTTGACGAACTCACAAAGATAGAGAAAAAAAAACATAAAATAGGTTCAATTAAGGGGTTGTAAGGTTAGAAATACAAACTTGCACCCAATAAAGCATGTCCAGACATGAGTAAGAGAATGCACGTTCATATTACATGAGCATTGCTTTTTAAAATCCTGATTTAGTATAAATTTTAACTTTTAAAAGAGGAAAGACTTGAAAACAGCAGGATACAAAAATTTTTATGTTCAGGTTCAATTTCTTGAATTATATCATAGTCAAAATTTGATTTAAGTACTTTGTTTAAAATGCTGTCCATGAAATAGAAGGAGAAATAAATTTGTTTGTCAAAAGGAAAATATAGCATGAACGTTTTCTCTACTCCTGCCAGATACTGGAAAATCTGTCAAAGAGCTGAACCCCCTTTGCCACTTGGCCAACTAGATAAATAGTCAATAATTTGCATACAAAAAGATAAACCTCTCTAACAAAATATCCACT